TGAGCTAAATAATTCCTAAAGGCCAAACGGTGATATAATTAGACCATGCACGATGCAGTACAAAACGATCAAACTAGACGTTTAAATTAATACTAGCCATGATATTGTTGCAAACACTACAAACATTCGCATTTTACAGCATAACAACGTTTTGGCTAATTTAAAAATGCTAAATGAGCAGTTTTGTTTTCAAACAAAATCATGGAATGAAAGCGATGATTTTTTGTTATTAATTAATGCAAAATACAAAAGTGATGGTACACATGGTTCATTTCAGGACAATAACACCCTACCTCTCACTCCCACAAACTCCAAAACATGGAGTTGTTGACTAGATGCAAAACACTATAGTTTTTGTTTCCAAATGCAGGCCTCATGAATATAATTCATTTGATTCCACAAATCAATGGAAAAGTTTGTGTGACTTCACAGTAAACATTATGGCAACCACAATAAAACACATCAACATAAACATACCTCCATACAAAAGGTTAAAGGTTAAAAGTGAGAGTGGTTTAAAAAGACAAGCTGGGTGTGGTTAGTTGGTTTTCATATTTTTTTTGTCATTTATATCTCAAAAATCTCACAGAACAACCATGTCTAATTATTCTCAATACTACAACTTAGGCGTTACCCAAATTCATCCCACAAAGGTGGAAATATGATCTTGAGTGGACATCATAGTTTTCTCATTGATGAGGAACAGGGAACTGATATTGATGGCATTTATCTCTTGGAGTAACCCCCCAAACACCCACACCCAACACACACACACACTATTGGAATGGTAAGTGGTGTTCACTAGTTAATAGAACAAAAACGTTAGCATACTGGCGAAGAAATGTTAAATACAGGCTAAATCTAATACCTGGTCCAGACTCTTAGCGCTGGTTAACAAAGTGCAAATGAACACATAGCTTGGCTACATTGTAAGTACCCACTGTGACGACCTTTGGAACGGGATTATTAAGCACATTATCAAATATATGCAATTTTATATTTTCAAAATGTTGAGGGACTGTGTTATATTCAAAACTTTGTGCTCTCGCGAAAACTGGAAGAACCAAGTAACACCTTAATAACCATGTTATTCCGTGATAAAATTATTTCTTTGTAAATTATAACTATTTCACTATTTTTTTCAAGTTTAAGAAAAGATCATTATCAGCTATTGATAACATTTTTTTAAAATTTGTTTACCAGTAAGAAGAAATCAACACGAAAGCCCTCTAACAACAAAAACAGGCCAAAAATACACGTAGTAAAAGTTTTGTGGCGGTGTGTGGTAGCAGAGATACTTTCAATGTTCTAATCAAAAGGAACTCTGGGAAGGAGAATACCAAAACCAAGACAGTTCTATCCCACCAGTCATTACACCTCACTCTTTCCACACTGATCAGACCAGACGGTTGTAGTAGAATGTACGGCAGCTTCAGTTTAAGACAACATAAATATACATTCATGCATTCAAAATACTCTGCATTCTATTGCGCCATTTTGCAACCGTTCCTGTGCACATTGCTAGTGATGTAGAAAAGAGGATTTACATGAATGAAGTATTGGTTACTTTTTCAAATTTTTATTTTGCTTTTCAGTTTTGTTTGGACCACCTACTTTTTCATTTTTTCAAAACAAATCTACATCACTGCGCCACAAAATGTTAACAAAACTTGCAACAGAAGCAGAGCCTCACGTGTGTCAGTTTGTATTTGTTAACAGCAGCTTAGCAAAGGACACCGAATGATGGTGTGCCCTGTGCATGGTCACAATTGGTTCTAGCAAACATAATCTAAGCCCAAACTTGGCGTAGCGGTAATAACCAAGAAGAAAGTAATCTTTAGTGACCAGAAACAAAAACGTTATGAAATACCTGAAACAAGAACAAGACCAGCACATTTTCACACATAACTGTGCATTTCAGAAAATCACTACCGATTTACATCCAGAAATAGACCTAAAAGAAAACTTTCATTCCGGCAATGTTTTAAGTGGTGCAGCATTACAATACTTGTACACACATGATTTTGGTAAAAAAAAAAAAACTTGTATAATACAATCGGAAATTTTAATAAAAGGTAAGATAAAGCTTAACCCCAGGTGACATTTTTTGTTTTGTTTTCGCATGTTTTTCTGTAATAATGACTTGATAATTCTGAAACATTATATTATTTCATGTAGACAAACCTGTGATTATTTAATACGATGAGAACTCACATGATTTTGGCAACAAATGAACTGGGATTTATCTCCAGATTAGATTGCATCTAATATCCGGTAATAACAGATTACAGGTAACATCTGTGTAGTATACATATATTTGTCTTTGTTTTGTTAGTGTGAATGTCACATTGTCCATAAAAGACGGTATTTTAGAGAGGTATAATAATACTGATTCCACTTAATAAGAAATGTAATATATAAATAAAATAATAATAATATGATGCCCATATATGGTACATACTACCAATTCATGTAGTCCTAGGGATACCATTATTCTAAGCTAGTAGCCCACCTAGATTGCTAACAATTTACAAAGAAATGACACTTTGTTTTTCAAAATTGATATATAACAGCATGTCTTAAAAACTTTGTGTAAAGAAACTGAGCAATACAATTAATTTGTTTTCACACTTTTGTGAATGGTTGAAAATACCACCAAACCCAATGGACTTTCTAATAATACCATGGAAGGACCAGCACTTGAAATGGTAGTGAAGTTGAAATCAAATGTTTGCTTTTTTAGTAAGGCAATGAAGTTTATGATTTACGACAATGTTTTCACTGAGTATATCATTCAGATTTTATTATATCATTCAGATTTTCTACTAAGGTTCCATTGATACTAAGGCTTCTGGCACTACTTATCACAATTTTAAACTCACACATGATGCAATTACACAGCTGATTGGAGAAAAACAGTCATTACGCAGTAACTAATAAGCTGCAAGCCAATCAGGTAAAGCACAGAGATTATACAATTGACTGACTGATTGAGACAAGACTTATGATCTCTGTGCTAGCGGAAAAGCTTATCCTGAAAAGGGCAGGGGTTGACATTAAAAGTAAGAGCTGTCTGTTCATTGGTCGGGTTAGCAAATAAAAATGCCTGTCCCAATGGACGAAGCCCCAGCCTACAATAAAACTTGTATTTATTATTCTATATTATCGTAATATTGATCCTCGTTCGTGGACAGGTTTGAAGTAGAAGTGCAGGGGTTCTCACATGATAAGTTTTGTCGCCAATGTAATTACCATAGGGCAAACTACTGAAACTGTTGTATTTCTACTAATACAATGTAGGTCCTTACCGTAACCTCCTGATTTCATTTGTTTCAGGTACAGTTCCAGACACTTTGTTTTATCTTGTTTTCAAAAAAATTGCAAAAAAATGTTTATTTCAACTTCGGGTTTTACTTATGCCCCATAGAGTTCCATGTATTAACTCTTAATAAAGTTATTTCACTTTTTTTTCAAAAATTTGGTCCCAGACCCTAAGCAATCTATTTGTAAAATCTAACAAAAGAAAGAAACTGTATTAAGCAGCCTTAAGCCATTTTTGCCACTCCCCATCTAGCTAGTAAGTGAAAAAGTTATATCTTTATTCATCTGCCCACAGCACACAGGCAATTTCTGAAATTACCTGTCCCAGCTAAAGTTCTGTCAGGGGCAAATTGACAACACATGAAGCAGCCAAGCCTTTTAAAAATGCCTGGGGAGCTTAAAATAACTCTTCTGAACTCAGTAATGTAAGTGATTAGGGATGGTATACGATTAAAATCTCTTGGAAATTATATGTATCAGGACATCAATAATTAGCTCTTCTGGGTCATGATTTGGGTGAGTGATAGGTGAGTGGAGTGATCACTCGTTTTATAAAGTAATGTCTAATGAAGGACTTTGTGTTCCGTAATTGTCAGTACATTTCTATTTCTATCTATGTGTCTTTCAACATTATCCAGTACATCCATTTTTGTCTCAGGGTTTAGAAGAGAAAATGTAAATATTCAGAGCTGCATTAGCCAAAACAGAAAATATTAGAAACTGAGTTGAACAGACTACATAACCTGAGTTGTACTTTCTACAATTAGAATGTCTCAGGTTCAAGGTCAACAGTGTTTAACAGGTTATTCTACCTGACTGTTATTTACTGCATTACTGCTGCACACACACTGTAGCTTATTCTCAAAGAATTACTAATTGAATAGCATTTAGAGTTAATCTACAAACACCATTCTCAATGTATAACATGATGGAGAAATTACAATTTTAATTACACTGTCAAATACATTTGTTCTAGGCATGAAAAAAAAAATGGTGTAAATAATTACATTTGTAACATGATATAATATAGTTAGGGTTAAAATTGAATTATTCAATTACCTGCACAGTCTCAGTTCGATTGAACTCAATGGATAAAAGTACATCAGTAAATTCTATAAATAGGTTTCTACTACATGCACTTCACATATTTACAAAATGAGCGATCTATACTCTATACTCGTATGGGTTTATTGGTTTCCAGACATTTTCTCTTAATTAATTACAGTCTGCCCAATGAATAAAAATATTTGCGGGGTTATAGCTCATACTACTCATCTTAATTACAATGATGAATTACAACAACAATTAACGACATCCATAACCTTCAACAAAAGATGGAGAATAGCTAAAACTGTCTTTTTTTAATTTTCTTATTAGTAAAATATTACTATCATATCTACAGGTTGGGTAAGGGAAAAACAACAATATTGCACAACACATGACAAACATTCACACACTAATGTCAATTTTTGTTAGTCAACGTAGTCCACGCAAATGTCATGAAAAGACACTCCTAATTTGAAGCATAGATGGAACATAAATATAGTTTACCAGAGCATTTAGTTACTGTTGTGGTCCTAAAACAAAATCATAAAAATGATACATTTTTTTTACACTTCTTTTATCCCGAAACAAAATTTCTTGGATGTAATTTATATCATGCATAATTGAATACATACCTTTTTGTGGAATTACCTGACTTGATACTGCTGCAAGTGTAGGTTCTTGAGACTGTATTGGAGATGGAGAAGCACTCTCCTGTCGCTCCAGCGACTTTTCAGTGATATTGCAGCATTCCTAAAATTCAAAGAAATACTTTAACCACTGAAACGAGCCAGCTTAACATGATTTGCAGCCATATTGGAGTGACAATATGTAATGGCTCTAAATAATAATTATTTAAATATCATTCCAGGTGAACTATATCATCTCAATATTTCACAGGCCGTTGATTTACGTGTAAGAGAAAATAAACAAACTGAACGCCATCTAGCAACGACAGCCAGTCCAACAACACAGTGATGCTGATCATACATTTTTACTCCATTCTGTTCAGTGATCAGCCGTCATCTGTCATTACTGCGGCCCTTACCTTGCTTCTCCTGTGTTCTTGTGGCGACGGAATTTTCGGCAACCTGTCAAGCTGGCTTTTGAGGAATTCCTTTTGACGGAATATGAGGGCAGGGTGAAAGGATGCCATAGTCAATAGTAACAAGAATTCATCGTAAACTTCATTCCCTGGCTCCGTGTTTATGTTGTTAAAGATGGTGTCCATATTTTGAGATAGGGTCTTGAAAATAATCTCCGAACATTTCCTATTCGACGAATATAGTAAAGCCATGCTAACAATAAGTTTACTGCGAATTATCTGGTTTGATATATCCGTTAACTGTTCAATTTCTGACTTATTATTTGCTCTGATTTCTGCATCCCTGAGATGAGTGTAGTCTCTTCTCGCTAGATCTTCAATGCAGGCACCAAGAAATCTCAATTCCAACGGCAAACACAAATCCAACAATCCGCATATAAAATCCATACGACTGGATCCATTTAGTCTCCCAAACCATTCATATACTTCTTCCTTATACACCATTGTGTAGATGCCAAGTAGCTAAAGTATCACAGAAGTCATAAATAAGGGTATAATTTAGCCCAAATCAACTGCTAAATACTAAGTAAATCTCCATGAAACTAGCCGCCATTTGCAAACGTAACTTGGAACAGCCAACACATCCGGGTATTCTGACATAGACAACCACATTCAGTGAGTAGGGAGGATTCAGCTATATTTTTTGATGGTGTGCAGTCGTATTGTTGAACACCCGATTTGAAAAATGTAAATATTTTCAGCATGCTTTTATGCAAGGAATAACAAATGCACGACACTAATTTCGTACCTTTTATGTGTCTTGTTATTGAGAACGGAAAACGACTTTTGTCAGAGACTTCCCAAGGTGCAATGCTACTTTCCGATTAAAAAAACTAGCAAAACATGTGTCAGGTCAATCAATCTAAGGTTCTTTAGGTCGCTTGATGTGGGTAGTTGAATCAGTCTGATACTATCATCTCAATAACCGATTGACACAAATGGGTAAGAAAAATAAGAAGAAGGATAAAAAGGGTTATGGAGCTGAAAAAACTGCTGCAAAAACGGCAAAGAAGGCAGAAAAGAGGGCTATAAAGGAGTTAGGAATCGATGTAAGTTAATTAAGTATAGGTCTAGCATGCGATGTACTACCGGTATATGTTCTTCATAGAACCATGCAACTCTTTTTAAAATAGCCCCCTCCATCAATCCATTTAGCTCCACGATCAATCCCACTGCCGACTGTGGTGGTCAGCTAGTCATCTCACAGACTGGTTGGCTGAGAAAACAACCCCAAATGTGAAGATGATTGCACCTTGAAGTCATCCCTGCAGTACATGGTTTACTCGTAGATCATGTGAGTGTCTGTATACTCATGGACGTACAGGTATACTGATTGAAGGAAAAAATATTAATATCTCAAGCTATTGTATTTTTATGAATAAAGTACTCCAATGGTGCTTAATTCATGTGTACTACTTCCTGTTTTGAAATGGTTCGCAAAGAAAGTTGACCTGTGTTGCATTGTTATGTAATCATTCTGTCCTCTTTCAAGCAGGGAGCTTAAATTCCTGTTTACAGAGTACAACTGTAAAATATTTTATTTTACCTGAAATTAATTTTTGCTGAAAAGACATGGGTGTTTTATTTTCACTGATTTTTGATGAGTTGAATATAAAATATGCGGGAAAAAAAGGTATTTTCGCTGGATTTTATTATTCACTGAATCATCCTTTCAGCGAAATATTTTACAGTGAGTGCACATATTATGAGGTTGTTACGAGGATACAGTACAGCAGGAGTATCGACCGACGTGCAGCGGAGGTCGATGCGACAGCGTTATGCCTAAGTGCATACTTTATAATATCCTCGTAATAACCTTATTATTATACATCTTTTCCTCCCAATGAAACATCATGGGAATGCCAAAACCCAAAAGGTTTAGAACAGAATCAGCGAACTTCTTTGTGTGGAATCCGGTCAAACCCTGGTGGCAGCCATGTTTGTTTTTATTATTAGAGAACGCTTACGCGTATAATCATTCCATATTTGGAATTCGCATTACCTAATATGGTAGGATGAAAATACCCCGTAAAATACCGCAAAATTAAGGCATGGATTAACTTATGGCGTTACGGTGACAGATGTATAATAATGGGCTTTACTAAACCAAGTAACAATGGTTTGAGATCCAGGTATTTTCAACTGTTCCTGAAGTTGCTCAACAGTTGATTAAAATCTCCAGTAAACTTGATGTAAACCATTTATGCTAGGGTCTATGAATACACCATGCAAGTTGATAAGACTGCCAGCAATAGCATTTAATTGCATTTTCTTAAAATTTGATCAAGTTGCCACATGACATGAACTGTCAGACTGCTTTCACCATCCAAAATTGTAGGGTTGACCACCTACATTTGTTTGTGGGGGTGGGTGGGTGTTATGTTGCAGAGGTTTTTATAGAAAAAAAGCTGCAAGAGGGAGCACTGCAATTCTGCGGCGCCACCAAGTGAGGGAGATACGGTTCTCCCTACCAGGGTGTGGAGTTTTTGATAATTCTAAGTTAAAATGAAGCATTCTATGGCTTCCTTAGGGTCAAAATTACTATCAGACAGGTCACAGTTGAAGACTGTGGCCACATGTGATCCTGCGCCCCTGTTCCCTTGTTTAAAAAAATCCCTGATGTTGGCTTTACAAATAATCCGTACACAAGTTCCTTACTGTGCATTTCTTGGCAATACAGCTGTATGATGTTACATCACAATTCTCTAACACCAATGAGTTTAAAAATGATTTGGTTTACATCTTCTAGGAGGACATTGATTCCCTAATTGCTGAATTTGTTGAGATTGATAGAAGAAGAGTTGATGTTGTTGAAAAGCAGACACCACCACCATCGCCAAGGTATTTATTTTTATTCATCAAATTATTAAAGGGCAGTAGTCGTCGCGCCACGCATGCACGAGATATATGGGTCTCATATAAACAAAGATGGTGACATTGGCTGTTGGGCAGATCAATGAGTGCAAACTGAGACGTCACCGTGCTTTTAATTAGGTATTTTTTAGGTGATTGGAAGGTATCAAAGGCGTCACTGGCTGTAATTACTGCAAGTCGCGCGCAGGTCAAACCTCATACTTGTGATTTCCATTAGACGAGTGCATTGGATTGTGGGAAAATCAATGTTTATCAACCCAAATGTCGCACATGCATTGCCCAACAACTACTACAATTATTTTTAAAGTTTCAATGGATTTACATCAATAGATGGTTGCACATACATGTAGGCTTAAAAAAAAAAATTTGGCCAATATCTTTTTCTAAAATCAACACATGAGCAGCTTTTCATTTATTTTATTTTGTTTTTATTCTGAAATTTATGATTTTTCATGAAACTGAATTTGTTTTGAATTTTTTCTAAATTTCTATAAAAAAAAAGATACAATGTGTGCAGTGACCATAACCAACATGAATATTTATTTTTTGGGGCCTGAAAATGAGAATAATAATTTATTTTCATCAACTGTGACAAAGACTTTGAAACTTGAAGATTATACATAATTTTTGTCATAATTTATATTATGGGGTTATGACATTTGGATACTAAATTTAAAAACAAATCAAGGTCACCAGACAATTTTTCAAATGATTAAGAGGTCAAAATATTTTGCAAAATTTTGCACAATATCTGTGTTTGTATTGGTTTCCATAGTGAACTCATTTCTTCATACCTAAGAATATTTCTTGTTGTAAAATGGCTGAAAACATATATTGTTCTGAATCTGAATATTGTCACGAGTTTTATAAACAATTTAAAAATAATTCCGGTTCTGGCATGATAATATTTTTCCCCTATATTTATATCGTACGTCACTGAAATGTTGCGAAGTGCATATATATCAATTGCAAAATTAACCACCATTCTACATGTGAGGGTCAAGAGAACAATAGCTTTACTGAAGTGGACAATACCATATTTACAACAACAAAAAATTTTTATTTTTTTTTAGATGCAACATGACTCTCACTGCACATCCAGATAAAGAGGAACTTATATTATTCGGGGGTGAATTTTTTAATGGAAAGCAGGTAAGTTTACAAAATAACAAAGTTTACAAACCTCATTTACCATATACACATAGGTATGCCTGAAGAAATGTATACCTTGAACTTTGACCTGCATGTGCTTGAATTCTAAAAATTGTCTCATGGACCTGTCATGAAAATTGACCTGAATTTTATTGGCTGATTTTTTTTAAGCAATATACCCCGGGTGCACAGCATTTTCTAGTGTTTTGTTTTTATTTGACAGTTATCATGACATTACCTCCTCAGAGAAATTTCCCCTTACCCCTCACCCCTCATAAAAAAGAACTTATGATAGTATGTCACAACACATTAAAAAAAATCTTAATCAGAAAAAGCAATCTTGCAATGTATCCAGAACTCCACTGCATATCAGTAATCTGAATTTTAATATATTCATAATATATGCAAAGTAGATGCATAAATGGCCAAAATTCATGTTTTTAGTGTTTTTACTTAAATTTATTAATATAACATTACAAAACTAAACAAACAATTTAATAAAAAAATAATTATGTTGGGATTTTGTTTAAATTTAACACTAAAGGTATGTAAATGTGCTGTTTTATGTTTTTTCTCTTTTTTTCAAAAGCTGTACTAGAATGTTGATGCAGTAAGTACATGTAGTTTAAATGGCCAGGCATGCATTACCCATCAGTTTGGTGATCCTTACCTGTTGTCTCCTATTGGAGACTACAGTAAGGCAAATGATGTAAACACAGGGTATGATAATTTATGAATTACAAACCCTGGGAACAAATAGTTAACGACCACTGTTTGTTCCATTACTGACCTTTACCACTGATGGGTATAAGAAGTAATTGTTAGTGTTAAGCTTCATGTACATCACACTGTTGTTTTAGAGTTCACTTCTGTTATTCATGGAACAATTTAGGGACCAACATCAAAAGATCGATGTCGGATAAAAAACTTAATTCCTTTAGTTTTTTTCCAAACCCCCCCCCTACCCCTCACTGAAACTTAATTGATAACTATTGGTCATGGCATCAGACTACATTCACCATTAAATATAATTTGATAATCGGACAGTAGTATTACATAGCAGTTGATTGTCGGGTGGGTGTAAAAAGATTTTACAAATGCACCTCATTTGACGCACAGATTTACACTCGTACCAAACTATTTTTCTTTTTCTTTTTTCCCCTTTCGGTTATTTCTGTTTATGATTGGATAGAAAAAAAACGAACTACAAATACTCCAAGATTTTTTTGACTTCATTAAAAAATAAAATCGTTTTTGTAGGATGGAAACTTTTTGAGGTCAAAACCCCCCACCCCCAAACTAAAGGAAATAAGTTTTTTATCCGACATCGATCTTTTGACGTCGTCCCTTAATCAATTCAATAAAGAAATTCTTGAGTGCATTTTTGTGGGTGTAGGGGAGATTGTTCTGAAGTTATACATAGACTGCAGTGTATTTTGTGTAGGGATGTGGGGAAAACAGTCCAAAATAAATTATGAAAAGAGGATACAAGTTCATGTTGCTGTTGAGCCATAGTATGGAAGATATTTTGTTCTTCCAGCTACGGTACTTTCATGGGCCAGTGTACAGAATTGTACACTCTCTTCCACTTTTACTACTTTGCAATTACAAGGTTAGGGTCTGGCCTGTACACCTTCACTACTGTGTATGGTGCGAAACACTTCCTGGAGTTTGTTCATGTTTCGCACTGCAATTGTATGAGAATAATTTTTGTAATAACTGGAATTTCTGTATATTTTTTCATTTGAGCAAAATTTTCGGCAAGCCGAAGGTCAGGGGTGGGTTAAACTCCTACTAATAAATGTTGTTTAAATCAATCAATGTTCCAATGTTTTTTTTTTTTGTTTTTTTTTGTATTCAAATTATGTGTTGTTTTCCAGTTGCCTCTGTATTTTTATTTCTTGGTTGTTAGTTACCTGTTTTGCAATTCACGTAGAAAATTTAATGGCAATCTTGCAAAACTGAAGTTCCATGCGCATGTGCCCCACCAGTAATTGTTGGTGACTTGAGATGACCTATGAGATAACTACACTTCTAACATGTCCTGGCCATATCCACAAATCAGACAACATGATCTACTATCTATTCACTATGAACTAGCTACCGGTGAATATCAGAGTGAGCGTTATTTACATCCGGTTGCTGGCTGCCCTTTCAAACCTTGATTTATACATAGTATTATCTCAAATACACCTCAAATTTGACGAAATTTGCTTAAATTGGGCAATCAAAGTTACTGTAAATACTTTATTTTAGCTGGAATTAATTTTTGTTGAAAAGAATCTTTGGCTGGTTTGTATGAAATTTATTTTCACTGATTTTTGATGAGTTGAATGTAAAATATAGGAAAAAAGGTATATTTGCTGGATTTTATTTTCACTAAATCATTCCTTCAGCGAAAATAGCGAAAATTAAATTATTTTACAGTAGTTAATTGCTGATGTACATACATTTTATGTATACTGCGCTGCGCATCCACCTATTTCACTTTAGCAGATCCATGGCAGTGTTTGAGTTGGCAGCAAGCGACAGAATGCAAATAATGCTCACTCTGACAATGCCGTAGATCCAGAGCTACTGAGGTTGAAAAATGTATGATATATACCAGTAGCTACATAGATAGTGGATCCTGTTGTCTGAATTGAGGAAATGGTCATGACATGTTAGAGTGATATAACCTTTTCTATCATATTTGACCGGGGATCCTAGCCTAGTTACCTACTGTAAAATCTGTATTAGAAGCTGCGACTTCTATTAAAATGGTACAATGCAACAGATGCGGCTTCTAATAAAGCATCTACACATACATGTACGAGAAATTATAAAATTTTGGTTCTCAATTGCTTAAAAAGAATATGTGCGACTTCTATTAGGGTTGCGGCTTCTAATACAGGTTTTACGGTAGTTACCTTCCGCAGTTAGTAGGTGACATTGACATCGATCTGCTGATAAATATAGCACACTGCTAACCTAAGTATGGACTGATTGTTGCCATGGAGACAATAGTGCAATTGCCCCATACTTTCTGCCATTGGAATAAATTTACATGGGTAATGAGCCAAATCAACATTTCCTGGTTGTTATGGAGAGGGACAAAGGACCTGCAGCATAACAGGAAGGTAACCAGGCTAGGGGAACCCCCTGAGGAATTTTACGGAAGAATTTTAAGAATGTAGTAAAAGTTTTTAGGAAGTAAAATTCACTCTAATTATTTTCATAGAAAAATTGTTACAAACCATATAAAAAAGTCACATTTATTAAAAATTTATGATACATGATATGCAGCCTTCCCATGGTCATGTGACTAAGTAAGTTTTGAATATTCAGATGAATACTGTGAGGTAATTAAAATAGATACCACATTTTTTTTGTGAAATGAAAAATGCAGAATAAAACATCAGAACATAAGTCAAAGCAATTAATTTTAATACTGTAAAGGGATTAATTATTCACTGGGTTTTAATTTTACTTATTTCGCTAACCCACTGAATATGCCAGAAATGGTAAATCAGCAAAATTTAAACTCAGTTATTCATTTTACAGTATCTGTTTTTGCATTTTCACTAGAATATGTGGTTAGTTTTTACATCCTCATAGTAAGATCTTTAGAATGCATAAATTTAACAAAAATCACTGATGAGGTATCATTCATATATCCCACATTTACAATGTCTGAAAAATGTGAAGAAATCTGCTAGGTGCCTGCTGAGTAGTAGTTATTTGATGGACTATTTTGACATCAGAATTAAAGCAAAGATATAGACTAATGTACATATCAATAAATAAATAAATACAAATGTAATTGCTAAAGCATTGATATTTTTTTACATTTTCATGAAATCTTCTGTAACCAATGTTTTGATATTCAGTAAACAGCAAAAATTATTTCTAAAATTATTTCATACTTTTTCATACGTTTATTAATTATTTAAAATATATGCAAATATGCAAACTTAGATATACTTTATTTCCCTCTCTGTCCCTCACATATATAGTTTCTGCTATTGTTTGGTATTTGTTATACACAGGGACAAATTGGAGAAACTTGACACGAGTGGGTTTGTAACGGCGAGATAAAAACATCAAGTTTAATTGACATCACAATGTTTCACATATTATTTCACATTTGCTGCACTATTTATATGCAGTGATAATGCTTTGATGTGTAGTTTAATTATTCACATTCCTCTAGTATTTCTATAGATATTAAAGTTTACGATGTTTTTCACAACTAATTGTCTAATACCATGTGTACACTTGTGCCAACAAAATTGGTAATCCGGCATCACGCCGATTTAGTTTAAGAGGTCCTAAAATGGCAAGTCTTGACACCTCGGCACCTAATACAATTTTAGCATGTATGAACAATAACGCCGCCTTAAAAAGCATGCCCTCAATGTCAGCGTCGTTCTGGAGTTCCATGGTAGCCGATAACAACGCCCGCTCAGTTTAGTCTTTATACACGTACGAATAAAGAACCAATTAAAACCACTGATAATGATTGTTTACTAAGTTAGTCAAGCCGGTTCTGTGGTAAACATGTGATGGTATTTTTATTATTGCAGACACAATTGACTCGTTATATAACTATTTTGTCAATAACCTATTATCATGATCATTGATAGGCTTTCCAATTCACCAATCACATCTAGGTCATATTTAGGTCATGAGAAACAATGTAGCGAGTCGCCCGCCATGTTCCTGCCGATGTATTTTCAAGTGTTCCATGTTTTACCATTGTATAAAAACATCAGTTTTATATTTTAAAGACCTGAAACTTTTTGTCTATGTTAATGCTGTGGATAATATTACTGCAGTGTTTATAAATTTTCATAGAGTTAGATATAGCTATCGATTCTAAAAGTATAAAAAGTTTATTTTAAGGAACATGCACAAAAAAAAAGCTCTTTAAAATCCTTAAGATTTTTATTTTTGGGTAATAGCATTGTAACACTATTAAGCAATAGCCTGGCATGGCATTTAAAAAGTACTGCCACGATGGCTGTACAATATGAATGTTTCGCCATCAAAACTGCCATTGCATGTAAATGTCGTAAACCTAGTTCATAATTCATCAGCCAACGGAAATAGTGAAAACTGGTTTAGATGTGAATCTTGCACAGTTTATTATTACAATTGGTTGTAATTTAATCGGTTCACCATCAAGTGAGTGATTTCTAAACCTTGAATAAAGGATGTGTCAATATATAAATCTTACAGATTGGGCATGTGCCATGGTGCCTATACTTAAAAAAACTTGCTTTATCTCCAGATTTGACATTCAATATTCTCATGAGTCATAATTCTCTTTTGTATCTGATGTTAATATAATTTTATTTTTATCTTGCAGACATTTATGTACAATGATTTGTATTTTTACAACATCAAGAAAAACAGTTGGACCTTGGTTAAAATTCCAAATGCTCCACCTCCTAGATGTTCACATCAGGTAGGACACACAGGCACATATCTTTTTAACCATTAAGATGCTCACATCAGGTAGGACACACAGACTCACCCCTGGGTCACCATTAAGATGCTCACATCGGATAGGACACACAGACTTGTCCGTTTTTCACCATTGAGATGTTCACATCAAGTGGACATACAGACGCATCCCCCTTTTACCTTTAAGATGCTTACATCAGGTAGGACACACAGACTCACCCCTGGGTCACTATTAAGATGCTAACATCTAGTAGGACACACAGACTCACCCCTGGGTTGCCATTAAGATGCTCACATCAGGTAGGACACACAGACTCACCCCTGGGTCACCATTAAGATGCTCACATCAGGTAGGACACACAGACTCACCCCTGGGTCGCCATTAAGATGCTCACATCAGGTAGGACACACAGACTCACCCCTGGGTCGCCATTAAGATGCTCACATCAGGTAGGACACACAGACTCACCCCTGGGTCGCCATTAAGATGCTCACATCAGGTAGGACACACAGACTCACCCCTGGGTCGCCATTAAGATGCTCACATCAGGTAGGACACACAGACTTACTCCTGGGTTGCCATTAAGATGCTCACATCAGGTAGGACACACAGACTCACCCCTGGGTCACCATTAAGATGCTCACATTGGATAGGACACACAGACTCACCCCTGGGTCACCATTAAGATGCTCACATCAGGTAGGACACACAGACTCACCCCTGGGTCACCATTAAGATGCTCACATCAGGTAGGACACACAGACTCACCCCTAGCTGGGTCACCATTAAGATGCTCACATCAGGTAGGACACACAGACTCACCCCTGGGTGACCATTAAGATGCTTACATCAGATATAGGACACACAGATTAATTCACCCCTGAGTGACGATGAAGATGCTCACATCAGGTAAGACACACAGACTCACCCCTAGGTCATCATTAAGATGCTCACATCAGGTAGGACACACAGACTCACTCCTGGGTAACCATTAAGATGCTTACATCGGGTAGGACACACAGACTCACCCCTGGGTCACTATTAAGATGCTCACATCAGGTAGGACACACAGACTCACTCCTGGGTAACCATTAAGATGCTTACATCGGGTAGGACACACAGACTCACCCCTGGGTCACCATTAAGATGCTCACATCAGGTAGGACACACAGACTCACCCCTGGGTCACCATTAAGATGCTCACATCAGGTAGGACACACAGACTCACCCCTGGGTAACCATTAAGATGCTCACATCAGGTAGGACACACAGACTCACCCCTGGGTCACCATTAAGATGCTCACATCAGGTAGGACACACAGACTCACTTTTGGGTAACCATTAAGATGCTCACATCAGGTAGGACACACAGACTCACCCCTGGGTCACCATTATGATGCTTACATCAGGTAGGACACACAGACTCACCCCTGGGTAACCATTAAGATGCTCACATCAGGTAGGACACACAGACTCACCCCTGGGTAACCATTAAGATGCTCACATTGGGTAGGACACACAGACTCACCCCTGGGTAACCATTAAGATGCTCACATCAGGTAGGACACACAGACTCACCCCTGGGTAACCATTAAGATGCTCACATTAGGTAGGACACACAGACTCATTTCTGTTGGTCAAAAGAAACTTATTTGATATGTCATCAAACTGACCCAAATGTGACTTTGTATATAATTATTTTTCTCTACCCTTACCATTATGATACATATACGCCTAATCTGAATGATTTCATTGATATATCTGTCATGAATTATTCCAACAGGCCGTGGGGGTAGCTCAGAGTGGTGGACAGCTTTGGATGTTCGGAGGAGAGTTTGCCTCACCAACCCAGTCAAAATTCCATCACTATAAGGATTTATGGATTTTACATCTTTCAGAAAAAAGATGGGAGAAAATAAGGTGATCTTTTTTGGTTTATGCTCAATGGCTTGACTCAACAGCTGTTTATATTTGCTACCTACAATGGAGGTCGCACATGTGTTTGTATAAATTGCAGAAGTGTCTATAGTCAAAATAACTAATCTTTTAATAATCTAGCATACAACAAAAATGTATCAAAATCACACATTTCTTCCATTCCAGAACAAGATCTCAGTTGTGCATGGATGGATTTTGTTCAAACTTCACACATACATCATATCTGACATATGCACATGCATTTGTTTCTTGGTCCAATTCAAGAAGGCCAAATGGCAGCTATTTTAAAGCCAAAAATGCATCAAAATCACACATTTTCACCATTCTGGAGCCGGATCTTAGTCGTACATGGATAGATTTGTACTTGATGCATACACTGATTGTAATGGGACCATGATACATGCCATTTCGTGCCATCCAATATATCAGCATGGATTTATAAAATGAGGAAATGTAACTGGTGTGATACGCATTGAGGATCTCAATATTAAGTCACATGAATTGGGAGATGAATACAAAATTGCAAAACAAGCATACTTTTCTTAGAATACTAATAAAAAATGAGTAAATCTGTAAAAGAAAAAGTGATAGAATGTTCATTTCCATTTATGCAATTGAACAGGATAAATTACTAAAATATTGCATACTGTGAAAGGATTAATTATTACTGGATTTTAATTTGATTATTTCCCTGACTGGAAAATGCGCTAAATTAAAACCCAGTGAATATGTAAAATTTAGCATAGAACACATTATCTAAATGATTAAACCGTGAATTCAAAACCTTCTAAATATGCCTGAAATGGTAAATCAGCAAAATTTAAACCCAGTGAAAATTAGTCATTTTACAGTACTATATACCTATAAAACTTACTCCTGGTAATGTCTTGATATCATGTAATACAAATTTCAGACACCAATAAACTTGAATGAATTCATTTCAACCTCATCGAAAGCAAAGATATAGGAGATTTGAGATTTTGTAAATCTCCAGGAATTCTCTGGTTCACATAAAGTTCTGCCACTCTTAAAATAAGCATTTTTAGACACTAATAAAACATTTCATTAGATTTGTCTACAAAATTAATTAAAATATGTAAACTCCATTAAATTTCCTAAAAAGGATGAAAATTTTACGAATGTTGTGTCCGATGTTGAAAACCCCACTGCTAATTCTAATGTACTATAGCGACTTTGATCGTTGTGCTTAATTATAAGACACTGTAATTGGTGGATGGGGTATGTAAGGAATGGTATATTATTCAAATGAAATGGATGTCTGTGGGTGATTTGAAAAAAAAAGAAATACTAGCATTAACTATTCTTAATTCCTGGTATGATTGGAACATAACTATTAACTATTTAGGAATCAAAGTCGATATTTAACGTACATTGTTGCCCGATCAAAACTTGCATTCATGCTTGCCACTGGAAGAACTTATTGGATTGTGAGTAATTTATGCACATGTTTTGATCGAACTCCACTGCCTTTTAAAGTAGTTTACAACATACCGTAAACACATTGTCATCATTCTCAAGGTACGCTTACCGGTATTATACAAAATTGTTAAAAATGTATCAATATTCTAGTGGAGTACGAATACAACAGCTAGGTGGCTTTCTATAAACGTACCGGGTAATGCCAATTTCCCTTTCTGCTATGTACGGTGGCCCAATTGTTGTGTTTTGATCAGTTAAACACATTAAATTGTCATCATTTCTAGTCACACTTATAATGAAATTATTTTAAAATTTTGTATTTTCTATATCCTAGTGGTATACAAATATAGCAGGTACAGGTGTAGGTCTCAACTCAATCTTTACAAACTACCAAATGAACCTACTGGGGTAGTACCCAGTTCTTTTGCTTGATATGAACCAAGGCTCCATTGTTGATGGTTTGATCAGTTAAACTGATTGTATTAAACAATAGTTGACGTCATCTGGCGGTCATCGCGTTTGTTACCATATTCACACATCTATTCCTAAATCCATACATCTGTCAAACTTTGGAGTTGTTGTAATTTCTTTAAATAGTTTCATTCATGTCTATTGGTCTAATTCTGAATGATGCATGGTAGTTTTACCTTGGATTGTGTCAAGACCAGGAGGTAAAATACTTATGCACAATGAAAAGTTATCAACCACATTTCAAAAAGTAGAAGTGTCTTTAAAACTGAGTTTTTTGTGAAATTTTTAAACCACTGCTCAATTACATCCCAACAAGGTGGCTGTTTATAAAATGCATACAGCAAAAACTTATAGATTGTCCTAAAATAAAGACAAACTTCAACTGATTTATTTTGATCACATTTAATCCAAAAAAAAAGTTTCTAAAGGTGATCTAATCCTGCTGAATGTTCTGTGTATTTAACAGGTCAGTGAAACGTTCACCTTAATTTATTCAGTGGTATGATATCGATTTGTGGTCAGGCTAAGTAATTCACCCACGGACATCCACCTCATTTGAATAATCTGTCATTCCTAAGTACATTCCCCATCCACCCCTAAATAAGGTGTTCTAGCAAGACATGCAGTAGATTTAATTCCAGTCTGATCTAGTCTCTACAGTGAGAATTGCGTCTGTCTGAAATGCCACAGGCCAGAAATTCTTAATTAAGTATTCATATAGTATAGACCCACTAGACGAGGCATTCAATTTGCCATGCAGTTATGTTGTTGATCCCAAGTGATCCGTTGAGGGCATAGATCTTAGACTGTCTGCATACCGGCAATGTCGGTTAAGTAAACCAGCTGCCTCTGTTGGCTGTGGGATTAAAGCTAGCAGGTTTCTTTTTGAATTATACAGTGGTAAATTACCTCGGCAAAACTCTTGACAGTGATAGAAGTGATCTCAATTCGATACAAACATTGGTTGCATTGAATAGAAAGGTTTCATCCAGTAAAGGAAAAAAATAATTACAGTAAAAAAAAAACTACTGGTAAACAGCTTTTGAAACTATATTTAGTGTGGGTGGGTGTCTCTACAACTATATTGTTAGCTGATATAGACATTCACTCCACAGAAATTAAAAGTTACAAATATGTGAAGAGATGGCCATAATTGTTGGTTGTTTTCAATTTCCATAAGCAGATAGCAATCAAAGATGTAATTAAAAAATATTTGACTTATGTTTTCTCCAATTTCCATATTAAGTCGTAACATTAATTGTCAAAGTTAGTTGTTAAATTTGATACAGTCCAGAAAGTCTTGGATACATAGAATTACCTGTTAGTAATTCAAAATAGGCTAAATATGGACATGACCTCTTAATGTCTGACATCCTGGTCTTTCTGGGGGTATTTGTTCTGACAAAATATTTCAATTGTTATATTAAATTAATATATTTTCTGCCTCACCAATGGTGTTTGTCTATATATGACATACAATGTGTTAACACATTATTCGCTGAAAGCCTACATAGATGGCTAAAATGAATGGGAAAAAACAGTGTCAGTAGGCAAAATGTTAATGAGTATGTCATAGGTCAAACTAAATATTTTTTTGTCAAAAAATGCTATTTTCAACTTTTTCTTTAAAATTGTTAGCCCAATTACTTTGATTTTTATATGCAGGCACCTTAGATGGACGTCTGACAGATTGTTTAATTTGTGGTGATACATTCAATTCTCTAATTTTAGTTAATATTTTTGTAATTTTTGGTAAAAAATGTTATTTTAGACTTCCTCTTTAAAATTTGTAGCCCAATTTCTTTGATATTTTATTTGTAGACACCTTAGATAAGCCTTTGACAGATTTGTTAATTTTATGACAATGAGTTAAATTTTCTATTTTTAATGAATATTTTTGGCATTTTTGGTAAAAAATGCTATTTTCAACTATATATATAGACAGCGAAGCTATATCAGGTTGCTTTTTTGAAGATTTATGTTTGTTTCTGATTTATTAATTACTACTTCTATAATATATTTTGCAGTGCACCTGGAGCACCGTCTTCTAGAAGTGGTCATCGGATGGTTGTTTGTAAACGACAGTTGATAGTGTTCGGAGGTTTTCATGAGAGCATAAGGTATTACGGGTCACAGTGTTTTATCTCTGGTGATTGTTATGTGTTTTTTTTAAATAATGATTTTAATATTATATTAATTATGAAATATGATATGCATCTATTGTTCAATGTACTACATGTATGTGGGGTAATTTAGTCACATGATGTAAATGGATATTATAGTAGTCATGATAACAGATACTATCTATTAGTGTTAAAGAAGTTTCATTCAAAATGGCCATCAGAGAGTCAGAAGAACAAAATTATGGTTTACATGAGAACACCTATTCCCTTTTAGCTCCGCTGTCGACTTTGTCGAGCGGAGCTTATCATATGAGTGATTGTCCGTCGTCGTCCGTGTCAATGTTTTACTTTTTCGACTTCTTCTTGAAAACTACAAGCCTGAATGCTTTGATACTTGGTGTATATGTACCTTGGGTAGACCTCTCTCAGATTTGTTCATTTCATGATGATATCTTCAATTCTCTAATTTTGGTGAATATTTTTGTCATTTTTAGTAAAAAGTGATATTTTCAACTTCTTGTTATAAACCGCAAGCCCAATTGCTTTGATATTACATATATAGG